GCGCTTCGTTATATAGACAATATCATCATTAGGGATGAAATGAGTACAAATAGCTGCTTCAAGCACTTATGTCCAACGAGCAAACAACAATTTTCATATTAAAAATGATAATGATACCGGATTGAAAAGATACTTTTTTCAATTTGCCCATCCTTTACGATCAAAGCATTGTTTAACTGAGTGAACCGACTAATAACCGAGAAACAGCGTACTGCTCGCATTAAAAACAATCGGACATTTATTATGTTGACCCGTTTTTGCGTATCAATTTTGCGATTGTGCCCCAGTTTTCGCTGATATTCACTGAAGATGTGAAATCGTTGCTCATCCGGTTTTTCGTTGTCAGCACATGCTGAGACTCCCTTATCGGCAGACCTAATTTAGGTTGGTCTCTGTCTATAACTGCCACACTTATTTAATGGTTCAATGTTCGTCAGTGATCGCATGCTGGGCAATGCCTGAATTGTCCGCTTGTCCAAGACGGACTGCAGAAGGATGCGGATGCACAGCTTCTGTCTGGTCTATCCAATGCACACCATATTGCAATCTCCGCGCTTACCTTTGCATATAATATTTAACGTTTTTTCCGGGTTAATGGGCATGTACTTCTTAAATAAAATATTGACAATGTTCTGTCAGTCCTGTAGTGGACTCTAATCTCCTTGTCACTGAGGTACCTTCTGATGCGTTGAGATACCAGGTACCTTCTGGACATTGTCTAATTCGAACTTGAATGCAAAAACTCGTCGTCAAAGATCCTCCTTTGGTAACTGTTCCTTAGAAACGTTTGGAGCATATGAATCTCCGCGTCTAGACCAGGAGTGATGGTACAAGTTTTTCTGGGTCCTCAAATGCATGTTCTTCACAATGTTTCTAGGTAACCCAGGAGGGACACATGATGCCGGATGCAGGCATCCATTGGGGTGGATCAGTTTCTGATTTACGGAAACCTCAAATTCAGAGGATGCCCTTCACCAGCACGACCCTGAAGGAGATAGAACCGTTAACTTCCACTTCAGTGCTAAAGTGCATTCGGCCATTGCCACCTCATCCATTCATGAATTTAACGAATCTTCCCAACTTTTTCTGTTTGCCCTCACTTCGTTGGAATGATAGAAAAATGTCGTCAGTGGTCAAAATTCAAGCGAGCATTCATCAAGGGCTTTCACTTCAAGATTGTCCATATAAAGATCAACCTAAAACACGCATACTAATAAGTAAGTCGGAACACCGTACGTATGGTTGTAAATACTATTCACGAATTGGAAAATGGTGCATTCATCACCAGGCCGAAGATCATCGTTAATTCATCAATGCTGCGATTTCTCAACACGTTTTGGAATGTTCTCCACGTCTCCTTTATGTCCTTCAAGATGTCAGGGAGAATATTAACAAGCATGTTAACAAGTGCACTCACAGTATTGAAAATGGCCGTGATATATACGGATGCCGTAATGCAATCCTGATGATCATATTCTCTCATTCTTCGTAGAAACTTCTTTCTCTCTTTCAGTCGGTAAGCCATCCACTTAGCAGCAGACTTCAATAATAAATCAAGCTCATTCACAATCTAATATGTCACTGTTCCCCTAGCCGGTATGATGATGTGCAACTGTCTGGTGGCTTATGGAGCTTCCTTAATTCATAAGGCCATGAGGTTACACGAGAATCATTAGACAGTGGGCAGGATCCTTTGCACACATTCTTGGGTGACGATCTTGTTCAACAAATTTCTCAGAATCTCCAATAGCTATCAGTGAGTTACCTTGTCAGGGTGGGCATTACTTCGAAATTTAGTGCATACATAACTATTCCTGAAGAGTTGCAACATTCTCGCCTCATATTTATCCATTGGCATCATTACTGTCCTCCCTCCTTTATCAATACAAAGCACAATTACGCTGTTAGTCTATAACTTCTTTTTCAATCTCTTAATGACCAAAGCAAGGAAGAGAGCCAGGTTGCACGAGATTTATGGACGTCATTGCGGATGATTTCCAATGATTTCAACCGATATTAATTTTGATCAATTGGAAGTCCTGTTCATCCACTCTATCAGCAACACATTGTTCATGTTACTTTCGTGATCGAAACTCATGATCTCGTTCTTAATCAGTTTTTCTAGAGCAGTCCACATAATGACATATCCATCGTGATGATGCTTCTTCTTCATCACAAAACTCTGGGAATTAAGTAATTCTTGAGGCATGTCCTCAAAAAAAATAGTCGAATTCCGAATGTGAGCTAGCCGAAGCTTCCCAAATTTTGTCGTTCTTTTGGACCAGCGGACAATTCCGGTATGCCCAGCATGCGATCACCGAAGGGCAATCTTTCAGTCAGATCAATGTGTTAGTCATAGACAAAGACTAATATAAATGAGGTCTTTATCCTCCATTAGAATGACGTCTTTATGTCCTGAAAATTGCAATGTCCAAGTGGACTTTTACAGAAGGTGCTATTCCCTTTCAGCTCGGATTTCAGACGGGCTAACTGATGCGTTGAAAGCAAGGAAGTTCCTCTTATTCAATTTTACTTGACCGCTACCATAGCTAGAATTGAGGCAACCGAAATACCTAAGTGATCAACGCCTCATATCGTTTCCACTCCATGTTGCATTTGCCTGTATGACACGCAGAAAGTGTTCCTCACAACATTTGACTTCTGGACAATGAAAAACAGTTCCGGTTGTGAAGCAACGTTACTCACTGAAGAAATCAGATGGCAAAGAACATTTTCAATACTATCCATCGGGAACGCACACCAAAACGGTGAGATATTTAGCTAAGTATTTTCAACTGAGCCTCTTTTCTGGAATTGAACTTTCACCTTTGCAGGTCGGCACTGTTTCGAAAGCAAAAGTCGAAAATAACGTTGAATAAAAGGAATGAAGGGATAGCTGATACGATGCACAGGCGACTCGAACCGACGTGAGTTATATCACTGCCTTTAGGATGAATGCGGTTGACTGGAAAGTCACTGTTTAAATGAATGGCCAGTTGTGCCCTGGCAATCATGGAATTGAAAAGTAACAATTGTTTTTAAGGCTTTCGTTATTTATGTCCAGTTCTTCATTAAAAGGTAAGTTAACGAACAAAAATTTAAGACTAATAAGGATACACTGGATATGAACAAATGAACAAGTACAGAGAAAACTGTTGATGGATACTTTTCGTCAGTTTCGACGAAAAAACCACTTACAGAACAAGGTTTCATTGCACAGCTTTCGAGAAGAGAACGCTGATGATCATAAAACAATTCATTCGCAATTCATTTGACTTATTACTAATTTGTGCATTTCATTAAAATAAAGTTATTTAAAAGCGCCGAGATTAAACAATCGGATCGTTTATTTGTTTCAAAAGTCTATTTTCTCACACATTTCTGAGAAACGAACATTTAAATTTGTAGCTGTTTTTGTTTACGATTGTTGATGATTGGTCGGTTCCACAGCAGCCTTCTGCTCGACGCCACTAGGAACTTGTAGGGAAAAAGAAACCGAATTTTCTGTGGTACGCGTCGATGAAATTGTTCTGGCATAGTCGCATAGCCGAGTTGCCGTCGCATATTGCCGGATACACGAGCAATATTCCGATCATGTCGCTGCATTCCTTGAACATTTCCATACCTTTGCTATAAAATTGACTGTGCAGACAGGTGCAGAATTCGGCACTGGCGTTGTCGAACTTCCTTCTGCAGGCCGGTGTAAGCCTGGAACGAGAACAGCTGTATTTTATT